ATAAGGCCTAGGACTTTTGCACAGTACTGTATATCAAGATGCATTGACAACAAACTGCATCCTCAATTTTCTAATTTACTTAAAATGTATACACTTCTGGCATTAAATACAAACAGATATGTGAACTCAACCTGTAATTTTACCTTCTCTTAGGAAACATTCTTCTCGATTGTGTCAAACATTATATAAGAGATAATAACATGTTCAGCATTCTTCTCATCGAGGTGGAGCTTTTTGAGCATGCTCTTAGCAGTAACATGCCGGATCTTGGGTCTGACTGCACCATCATTATCAATTAATGTCCCAAAAAACTCACATACATAGAGCATAGTTAGACTATTAAAATAATTGGAACATTTTTAATTAATTATATGAATTAGTCCAGCCTCATTCCCTATTTCCTATATTAGTCTACTGATATTGTCCACGGAAAAGACAATGAATACAAGTGAGTGAATTGAAGCACTGAGTGGACCAGAAAGAATGACGTTTTGTTTGAGCTTTGCTGGTTGATAAATCCATTCAATTAAAAATCTTGGTTAGAACCTGTGTTAATAATTAACACTTATCAAGTGGTCTATTAATAACAAAACATTATTTAGGACTTAGGATGATCAATTTGTAATTTTTTTATTCTAATGGTTCATATTCTTATTGTTTTATTGCATCTTTTTATTGTTGTGCTGTTTCTGCTTGCCTTGTATTGTTGGTATGTTGCCTTGTAGCACTTTGAGTCTAAAAAAAAGTACATTACAAATAAAATTTACTATTATTTTTTTATGTTTCTGTCATGTATACAAACATTACATCAAGCAAATAATAATTTATTTAGAAACATTCACTGATAGGATTACGCTATACGCTTATGGTCTGATGTGGAAATTAATTCGGTGTGTGATGTCTCACTGTGACTGAGTAAACATCAGAACATCCACTGGAAATGGCTGCACCCTCAACCATTGCACCCCAAACTTGCCTCAAAACACCTCCTTGGAAGTTTCTTTTGACAAATAAGTGCTTAATTAGCTGGTTTGGGTGTATCTAATTGGGGTTGGAGGTAAACTCTGAAAACCTTTCAATTATTTAAGGGTATAGAGGGTGACTTTGGAGACAGCCCTGGCTGCTGTGGAGCAAATTTTAGTATAGTGAACTCATTTTCATGTTCAAGAAAACAGCTTGAGATGATTTAAGCTATGTGACATATGTAGTGTGTCATCCACCTGGAAGTAGCATCACACAATGGGTTCATTGTGGTCATAAAAGGATAGAGATGCTCAGGTGTTTAAATGATACGCTAAAGGTATCGAGGGAACCAAAGCCAGACAATAATACTAGAGTTGAACAATATATTGCTTGAGCATTTTTATATTATTGTATAAAACTGTTTATTCAAGGACAACCATGTCCAGAAAACCATAAAGCACTGTTTATTAAACATTTATTTTTGCTCTGTCGTTTTTATAAATGCTTGTGATTAATTCTATTTTATGCAGATGCTCTGCTTAAAAATAGGCTTGGTCACCCCAGTTTATCTAAACTAGTAACTTCTTCCAAATAGAGCTATTTAAATCATCTGGTGAAATTATATTCATATCGCAACAAAACAAAATATTGCAATGTCAATTTTTCCAATATCATACAGCCCTAAATAATAACATTACAAAACACCATCGTACCAGCAACCTGAACCAAATTCTACACCAAATTCTGACTCTAGACACACTACGATTCAAATTCCACTGCTGAAATGGAGGCTCATCAGACCAGGCAACCTTTTTTCAAATCATCTATAGTGCAATTTTGGTGAGCCAGTGTAAATTGTAGCCTTGGCCTCCTGTTGTTAACTGGCAGGAGTATGACGTGTGTCAGCTGTAGTTTATCTGCTTCAATGTTTTTTTCATGATGGATTCAGAGGTGTTTTTCTGCAGATCTCAGCTTTAGCGAGTAGTTATTTGAGATATTCTTGCCCTTCTATCAGGTTGAACCAGTCGGCTCATTCTCCTCTGAACTCTGGTATCAACAGAACATTTTCCTCCACCAAACTACCACTCACTAGAAGCTTTGTCTTTATTTTTTAAGACCATTCTCTTTAAAACTGAAACACTGCTGTAAATGAGTAGTTTCTGAAACATTCAGGCCAGTCTGGCTGACACCAACAATCATCATTTAATGATCTTTCATCCCTATTCTGATGCTTGGATTGAACTTCAGGAGATTAATATTTAGCAAATAAAGTGATGGGTGAGTCTACTGACACAATTAGTTTTTTTATGTAACCCTTTGCACAAAAACATAAGATTCTGACAGTATTCTGATTATCTTCTGATTGGTTCTTGGGATATAGAAGCTTTTGCTGTCAGAAGCAATTGGCGTTAGCGGCTTTGCCAACAAACTGTTATTTCTGAATGCCCTGACGCTGCGATTCAGATGATTTGAAGCAAAAAATATTTGCCTAAAGCATTCACTCAATGGCAGTATGTCATTTTTGGTGGAAGTGGCATTTAGTGGCTTTTGCATCAGAACTCTTCATATATAAATACACACAGGCATGCATATAATTGAGAAAATGTTTCTATTTAGACATAAAATATTTGTGTTTATGATACAAATTATATATAAATAAATGCATCTGTAACAAGATTGCTTTTTTATAGTTTGGTTTCTATGTATGTGTGTGCATATATATCGCAAATGCATTATATATAAAATAAACACACACATCTATTATGTCAAAACAAACTTTTAGTTTAAATTCGAATAATCTTGTTTAATCTTTTTTATCATTAGTAGGGGTGTAACAGATCACGGTTAATCTGTGATTCGTGTGGATCATAACCCACGGTTCGGAACACACGTGACCCACGAATTGATACTTTTTTTAACTTGTAGATTATTCCTAAATTTGTAACAATCGCCTCTCACGTCAATCAATTCACATGTATGAAAGCATTTAGGCTTTACTGTAAATATAAAGATGATGGAAGTTGTAGTGGGTTATTCGGGATGTGATGGGTTTCTTAGGTTATTAAAGGTGTTTTCAGTCACTACTTGTTTAGCCTGCATTTATGCATTCAATGTAAGCTGCACGATCAATCAATAAAAGATCAGGATCTTACCATCCACGCAACATGAATTATAAATGATGGTGATTTGCATACAGTTATTAATCCTTTGAATCGCTGCATTCAAATCTGTTTTTGAAAAACGCAAAAGTTCAAGAAAACAATTCAGTCGTCAGTCTTTTGAGTTCATTATAACGTTACAAACAATCACAAAACACAAAAGTACTATGAAAACAGTTTGTAGTTTAGATAAAACTACTGATGTTTATGGTAAAGATTAAAATCATTGTCAAAACTTAACGCTCAAAAATGAAAGTTGTAGGTGGCAGTTACATTGTTTAACCAATAGGTGTCGACAACCAGCTATCAAAAATATGCCACTAAATAATTTTTCAAAAATGGCACATCGAGCAATTAAACATGAAGTTTTATGAGTGAATAACTGAATCATTTATTAAAAATGAGACTAAAAATAAATATAGGTCATACAAATTATGTTAGATTTCTACATTTAGCGTTATCAGCAACAACAGTATTGATTTTCACAGTACTGAACATTTTACAATTTATTTTTATTCATCTGGTTATTTCTTAATTTTATTTTTAATAAAGTGAAAGGTTCTAAGTTCTGTTTGTTAAAACCAAAAGTTTTTTTCAGTGCTGTTTCTGTAATAAATGGAAAGCAAATGACATTTGTCTCCTCCCCTTTTTAGCTGATCTGAAAAAGGGTCCAATCCGTGACTAAAAAAACAATGCTATCCAAATCGTGAGATTTGTGATCCGTTACACCACAAATAATTAGTAATGTGCATTTAGAAAACATTAAAAGACTATTTAGCATTAAGATTAATTTTTAACCATCAGATCCTAGATTTTCAAATAGTTGTATCTTGGCCAAATATTGTCCTGCCCTAACAAAGTATACATCAACGCAAACTTATTCATTCAGCTTTTATGTGATGTACGTCAATTTTTTTTTGTGGTCCAGGGTCAGATTTAGAAGCAAACTGCATTAGAATATGCTGACTTGATGCTAAAGAAACAATTATTATTATTATTATCATCCGTATTAATAAAACTGTGCTGCTTATTTATTTATTTATTTATTTTTTGTAGAAACCTTTGTTCAAGCCTTTTGATGAACAGTAATTTCCAAAAAACAAATCACATAGGCCAACCAACCTCCTTAGTCAGTTTGTACATACTTTTTCCTAAAGGGTCATAAAAACTTTAATGAATGAATCTTTAATATTTACAAATACATGCTTTGGCAAATGAGAAGATGAGAGAGAGCTTGGGTGGCAGTAAATAGCATGTCTCCTCGTTATCAATCCTATTTAACGGCTCAGAGCACAGCACTGTGCAGCAAATGAAATGGCTATTAATTGTGTCATGAACACCCCTTGTGCTGTCAGCAATTAAAATAAGCACTTAGCCATCGCACTTAGCTGTCTTTTAACACCTCGCTCATCACATACAGTGAAGTACACTTTAAATAGACACTTATTAGGCTGTTATAATTAAGCAGAATGATAGTGAGCTTGGAAAAGAGTATATTTTTAAGTAAAAGTGCAAACTACGACAACTGCGTCTTTTAAAATATTATTTATATATATTTAGCTTGGAAACCAGCCTGCCCAGACAGCAACCTTTCACTTGCTGTTTTGATTTGTGCAATTAATATCTACAGAGTGTTTCCTGAGGAATCATTTGAACTCTGCATTTCAAAGTAAAGGTTAACCTTTCTTCAAGCTATGATTCAGTGTACTTCGAGTTAAGCAAACCTTTAAGTTTGATGCAAATGCTGCACTGATGTGTAAAGCTGTCACTTTAAGTACGTGTGGTTGTTTAGAGATTAAAAGAATATGTCTGACATTTTAATGAAGTTCGGAATTAAATGAATATTACTTAAGGGAATGACGCATGCGTTGGTCTCACCTTTGCTTGAGTAACGCTGAGGTGGGAGGTCAAAGGGCACAGGGAAGCCAATTGAGGAGCTGCAGGCCGGAAACACATTCTTCTCCACTGGAAATGTGCTCATGTTCTACACAGACAATAGGACATTTATTAATGGCTGATAGTGATCTTTGGTTAACGCTCATCAAAATATCATTCATTGCAAAAAGAAAACCTATTTAAAAGATAAAAATCATTACCATATTAATTAACCCTGCAAGAGAGGATGTACATTACTGTTGAAAAAATAAGTCCTTACATTATTATCATCAATGTTATTTATTAGTAATGTTATAGAAGATATCTTAATACAAAGTTTTAAAGTAAAATATCTTTATTTTACAATGCTTTACAACAACAACAAACTGTTATTTTAAACAGACAGATATAAAAACAGACACTAACTGTCTGACCAGTTGGTTGTCAAATGACTCGGCAATTATCCCACTCATCTCTAATGGCTTGATAGATTAAGGGGCAAAAAAATAAAACAAAAACAAAACATTACATGCAAAATAATGACAAATATAACAAAATAACCTTAACATATACATAAACCAGTTGCACAAAATATATTTTATATAATATATAATTATTTGCACCCCTGTTTTTTTCCCCAATTTCTGTTTAACGGAGAGAAGATTTGAACACATTTCTAAACACAATAGTTTTAATATCTCAGTTCTAATAACTGATTTATTTAATCTTTGCCATGATGACAGTAAATAATATTCGACTAGATATTTTTCAAAACCCTTCTAGACAGCTTAAAGTGACATTCAAAGGCTTAACTAGGTAAATTAGGTTAACTAGGCAGGTTAGGGTAATTAGGCAAGTTATTGTATATCAATGGTTTGTTCTGTAGACTGTCCAACAGAAATATAGCTTAAAGGGGCTAATAATTTTGTCCTTAAAATGGTGTTTAAAAATTAAAAACTGCTTTTACTCAAGCCAAAATAAAACAAATAAGACTCTTCTATAAGAAAAAAATATTATCAGACATACTATGAAAATTTTCTTGCTTTGTTGAACATCATTTGGGAAATATTAAAAATAAATAAATAAATTCAAAGGGGGGCTAAAAATTCTGACTTCAACTCTATATACACACACACACACACACATGCATATTAATGTGATGCAGTGTATTAAAAATAGTTTTTTGGTAGCTAACTTTATTCAGTTAACATATTTCACTTCTATTAACAAACAATGGTAATTTAATGTTATTTCTAATACTTCTAATGTTACAATAATACTCTTAATATTGCAATAAACAAATAAAAACCTATGCAGGATTTCATATGATTTCATACAAACACTGGATTTCCTACAACCTACAAACATCAGTCTTTGTTGATGTGCATTCATGTATTATTTATTTTTTTCCAGATCTGTTACAATAACCATTACATTTGCACAACTGTGTGTACAACATAAAAACCCAGAATTCCCATTTATTTTAACCCCATCTGAACAGGTCTAAAGATATGCCATGACTCCCATAAACTCAGATGATGGTGATAGCATGGTCACATAAGTGCTCGGCAAACTCTAATGAGAAGGTGTGCATTCACTCGTCCTGTTTTCTGTGGGTAAAGTCAGAGGGGAACAGAGCTGTTCTGAGTGAAGCTAAACTCTCATTTGTGTGGTGGGCATGAAGATGGAGGGGGCTGGATAGATTTAAAGGGCAGTGGGGAATATATCACCTAGACTCAGACAGCTAATGCTTTCACAAAGCCCAGAGAGATGCAGCATGCAAACACTGTCCTGTTATTCCTGAAATAAAAAAACAGGAAGCGACCCAGAACCTCACCACAAAACATAGGATGCGGTTTATTCTGGATGACATATTTGGATCACTGAGATAAATTACATTTAATAATCATTTACTCAGTTGCCTTTTCTAAAACCAATAAAAACTTTGTTAAAAGTTCATGGTTGATCTGTCAGTTTATTTGTTTAAGTACATTTATTCCACATTTATTATTATACACTCTGTCAAAATAAAACAATACATTTTTGTTTTATTTTACAAAACAAAGCAAAAGCAAAGCAAAACACTAAACAAAAAGCAAAGCAAAACAAAAAAACAAAAATGAAACAAAAAACAAAACAAAACAAAAAAGCAAAACAAAAAAAGCAAAAACGTTAAAAAAAACAAAGCAAAACAAAATGAGGCAAAAAAAACAAACAACAACAAACAAACAAAACAAAACGAAACACGAAACAAAAAATAAACAAAAAATAAATAAAAAGCAAAGCAAAACAAAAACAAAACAAAAAAGCAAAGCAAAGCAAAACAAAAATTAAACAAAAAAACTAAACAAAAGCAAAACAAAAATGAAACAACAAAACAAAAAAAACAAAAGCAAAACAAAAATGAAACAAAAACAAAATAAAACACATAAAAAGCAAAGCAAAACAATAAAAAAACTAAACAAAAGCAAAGCAAAACAAAAACTAAACAAAAGCAAAGCAAAGCAAAACAAAACAAATAACAAAACAAAAGCAAAACAAAAGCAAAACAAAACACAACTCGACAAAACAAAAACAAAACACGAAACAAAACAAAACTAATTTTTAAAAAACAAAGCAAAAATTATACACTCAGTCAAAACAAAAACAAAGTAAAAAGCAAAGCAAAAAACAAAACAAACTTCAAAATCAATAATTTTTTTTTAAATCTACGAATTATCCATAACAAAACACAGAATTAATCAAAGTAAAAAAAAAAAAAGTTACACATTCTTCTAGACTTGTATTAAATCAGATTGTTCCACAGTTGTGAAAGTGAATAAGCAATTTATATGTATATTTACATTGTATAGGCAAATTTAATTAAGAAACAAACTATTTCAAAAAGAATTTCATTTATCGACAGATATTTCTAAGTTAAAGTTAAGAATACTACAATTGGAGACTTGTGAGCAAAGTCCTTAACAACCTTCAAACTTCTAGTTAAATCTCAGATGTCACATTTAACAATGATAAATCCTGTTTGTTTAACTAATAAAGACATCTTATTGGTTGAGCAGAGACATCATTGGGGTTAATGTGGTCTGAAATAACCTGAGGGTGAGTAAATGATTGAGCGATTTATCTGCATTTCCCCTCATTCTGCAGAAGGGAAACAAACTGACAAAGTCTAACGCACTTAATTGTTGTGGCACGAACAATTTCTTCTGATAAATTAACCAAACAAAAAAAAAGTAGATTTTCACTATGGTATAGCTTTACTAGATTATTTGTCACCAGTGTCTTAAAGTTTATGAAATCCAGCTGTTCTGCAGCAGCTTTATGCGCAGTTAAAAATAAGTATGTTGTTCAGGAGGAAGCCAAACAGTAAATATTCAATTGGATCAGAGCTAAGATGGTGAAACAAAGATATTTGTGCTTTCATCACTAAACAGAACATCTAGGTCAGATTTATACAGCGTTCAATGGCTGAAGGTAATTTACAAATAGCTATTTTTGCATCTCACTTTATTGAATATGCATTTGAAATAGTTTCCCATTCAGACGCAATACTTATGAGAGGAAATTAATTGAAATGAATTTTCGCAATGCAATTTATTAACGTGAGCTCCTTGAATATACGGTATTTGAGGCACTATATAATGCCTAAAAAGCATTAATGTTGCACTTGTAATGAAATTGCTAAAAGAGACACCGCTGAGAACAGACAGTGTGTGGTATAAGGTAGAATTTTTCCATGTTTATTAGGAACGCTAGAGAAACACACGGTCAGAACATTTTGTTTAGCAAAAATGTCATTTTTAATTTGCTTTAAAGACGACTTGGAACAAACAACGCAGTCACATAATATCAGCGTGATCTTATTTTCTCAGAAAGGGTGCGAGCTGTTCTCATTGTGCTTGAACTGTCAAAAACACGTCAAACTGTACATCTTGTGGACTGTCTCACATAAATGCAGTCAGATTACAGGAAGTTAATGTGAAGAGCCGTGCAAGTGCATGGGGACTGTCCAGTTCTGACGTCTTTCACTTTTGCATGTGCTGTAAAAGGTTTTTATCATTGTCTTGAGGCCACTTATTGAGGCAATAATTCTTGTCTATTTTGTAGATATGCCAATTCTTTGGTTAATAGTAGAGGTGTCTTGTGTTTAAGTAGTTTTACTGCGTGTATTTATTAACAGGATAAAATACATTTAAAAAATCAATGTTGGGTAGTTACTAACAATGCTCTACCACTAATGCTACTGTGCTTCTTATCTGAGAACACTGTGAAATATAGTTGAAGTCAGAATTGTTAGCCCCATAAATTATTAGCCATCCTGTTTATTTTTTGTCAAATTTCTAATTAGCAAAAAGAATTTTTTCAACACATTTCTTAACATAATAGTTAATAACTCATATAATAGTTGATTTATTTTATCTCTGCCATCATGATAGTACATGATATTTTACTAGATATTTTTCAAGACACTTCTACACAGCTTAAAGTGACATTATAGGCTTAACAAGGTGAATTAGGTTAACTAGGCAGGTTGGGGTAATTAGGCAAGTTATTGTATAATGATGGTTTGTTCTGTAGACTATCGATAAAAAAATAGCTTAAAGGGGCTAATAATTTTTTTCTTAAAATGGTGTTAAAAAAATTTATAACTGCTTTTATAGCCAAAATAAAACAAATAAGACTTTCTCCAGAAGAAAAAAATATTCTCAGACATACTGTGAAAATTTCCTTGCTCTGTTAAACATCATATGGAAAATATTTTAAAAAGAAAAGAAATAAATCAAAGGGGGATAATAATTCTGACTTCAACTGTATATCCTACATTAGCAGTTTCCCGTATTTTGTGATGCATGCTTATTTATTATTTCCCCTGATTCTGTTATTTAACAGACTTATCTCTCTCTATATTATTCTTATTATGTCTTTAAAATGTCAATAACAGTCAGTTGGTAACACTGTATGTTAATAGCTATTTGCCTGTATAATTGACATTTTAGCATTAATTTTTAGCTTGTTCTAGTCAATAAACATGAATATCCTTCAATAACTGCCATAATTAATGTAAATTTAAGTTTCCCTTTAGAATATGGGGCACAATTTCCTTTATTA